TATATATATATATATATACCGTCTAAATATTCCATGGAAGTTATTGCCATAGTTTGCTTCTAAGTTTAGATAAGAGAGCCAAATAGCAAATCTTTCTGCTTCTGCTGCTGCTGCTGCTGCTGCAGCAGAAGCAGGTGCAGCAGCAGCAGCAGCAGAATATAAATCCTCCTTTAATGCTCTCTCTGCTACACAACGAGCTTTCTCTAAATCACCCAACTTTAGATGATATGCCATGTAACTGCAGCACAGCAGCAGCAGCAGCAGCAGCAGCAGCAGCAACAGCAGCAGCAGCAGCAGCAGCAGAGGTAGCAGCAACAGCAGCACACACACACACACACAAGGAAAGAAGAAAGAAAATGAGAAAAAAACAGCTCCATGTATGCAGATGCAACAAACTAATGCTGCAGCAGCAGCAGCAACAGCAGCAACTGCAGCAGCAGCAACTGCAGCAGCAGCAGAATCACCCTAAACAATACAAACCCTAAACCCTAAACCCTAAACCCTAAACCCTACCTGATCCATACAGCAGCAGCATTACCATGAGTAAGCAGCAAACGCTCAAAGTCTTCTACAGAGTTTGGCTGCTCTCCTCCTTCTTCCTGCTGCTGCTGCTGCTGCTGCTGCTTCGCCTCTAGTGCTTCTAGTGCTTCTTGCATCTCCCGCTGCAGCAGCAGCAACAGCAGAAAAGAAAAACAACAGCAGCAAATGCAGCAGCAGCAGCAGAAAGTAAATATACACATGCAGCTACTACACACTCAACTAAACATTCTGCAGCATAAAACAGCAGCAGCAGCACCAGCAAGAGCAGCAGCAGCAGCAGCAGCAGCAGCATCAGCAGCATCAGCAGCAGGTGTTTATTGTCTAACTTTTTTTCTTAGTTTATCCCTTTTGCTTTTCTTTCCTTTTTCTGCTGCTGCTGCTGCTGCTTCTTCTTCTTCTTCTTCTGATTCTTCTGCTGCACTTCCTGTGTCTCCTGCTGCTGGTACTGTCTCCTCCCAACCCCACACTTGCTGCTGCTGCTGCTGCTGCTGTTGCAGCATCTGCTGCTGCTGCATATCTTCCTCATCATCTGTCTCGCTGCTCTCTCCTGTTGCTGCTGTGTCTGCTTCCTCATTTGCTAAGGAGGCTGCCCTCTTATCTGCTGCATTTGCTGCTGCTGCTGCAGGTGCTGCTGCTGCAGGTACTGCAGCAACAGCAGCAGCAGCAACTTGCTGCTGCTGCTGCTCCTCCTGTTCTTCATATTCCTCTGGAGGTGGTAGATCAGCAGGATCAAGAGAAATATCAACTTTAACACTTTGCCACGTCTTGCTGCTGCTGCTGCTGCTGCTGCTGCTGCTGCTGTTGCTGCTGCTGCTGTTGCTGCTGTCATCCTCGTCATGCTGACAAGTAATATGCTGCAGCGCAACAATCTTTGCCTGTACTATATCTCCATTATTTAATAAATTTAATCTTCTTTCCTTCTCTGCTGCTGTTGCTGCACCTAACCTAGCAGCAGCACAGAGGGAATCAACAGCAACAAGACGTAGCTGCTGCAGTTGCTGCAGTGCAGCAGCAGCAGCAGCAACTGCAGCAGAAGCTTTCTTTATCTTTTTCTGTAATTGAGGATCTTGTTGTTGTTCTTTACCCTTTTGTTGTTGTTGTTGCTGCTGTAGTTGCTGCAGTTGCTGCTGCTTCTGCTGCAGCTGCTGCTGCAGAAAGGAGACAGCTGGGCCCTCGTCAGGTGTATCCGCAGCAAAAAGAGACAAACGTACAAATACACCATATGCATGTACACCCCGTACTGTTCCTTCTACTACTAATCCTTTACGTAGACACTGCAGCAGCAGCAGACGCAGCTGCTCCATTGATCCTTCTCCTGCTGCTGCTGCTGCTGCTGCTGTTCCTGCTGCTGCTCCTGCTACGGTGGGTGCCTTGGCGTCACCTTGATAACGATGCAGCAGGAGTGTCTGCTGTCCTCTACGACCACCAGCACCGCCTCCTGCTGCAGCAGCAGCAGCAGCAGCAGCAGCAGCAGGATTCAAGGATCCATCAACCTTAGCAGCAGCATAATCAACAGATAAGATGTAAATCTTAGGCAGCAAATAACCTAGAGGGAATATTCTTTTTGCTTCCTCTATACTAAGTAGTCCGCTGCTACCATCTCTATCTGCTGCTGCTGCTGCTGCTGCTGATCCAGCTCCACCTGCTGCAGCTGCTGCTGCAGCAGATACACCTGCTGCTGCCTGCTGTAATGATATACGTAAGGTTATGCTGCTGCTTATTGCAGCAAATATGCCGCTGCTGCTGTGACCAACAACTAGACCTGGGTAGCACGCGCCACGCTGCACACAATAACAGCAACAGCAGCAACAGCAGCAGCAGCAGCAGCAGCACACAGAGAAGCACGGACATCCATACACGATGGCACACAAAGAGATAAAAGCAGCAGCAGTACTAGCTGCTGCTGCTGCTGTTGCTGCAGTTGCTGCAGTTATTGCTTCTGACGTTGTTGTCACTACTGTGGCTGCTGCTACTCCCGGTGCTGCTGCTGCTACTGTTGCTGCTGTTGTTGCTGCTGCTGCTGCAGTTGCTGCTGTTGCTGCTGCTGCTTACTTTTATATCTGCTATATTTTTAGGTCTTGTTAGATCTTCTTCGTCATCAATTATTCCTTCTATTGCTTTCCTCCTCATAGTAGCCTGCAGCGCCACTGGCTGCTGCTGCTGCTGCTGCTGTTGCTGCTGTTGCTGTTGCTGCTGCTGCTGCTGTTTAAGGATCTTCACTGTAACGAACTGCCCTGGTGCTAGCTGCAGCTGCTGCAGCGGCTGCTGCAGCAGCACATCAGATAGCTCAGTAGAGTGTACAGTAGCAAGAAGGGGGAGGCGCAGCAGCAGCTTGCTGCTAGCAGACAGCAGCAGCAGCTGCGTTAGCTGCACAGACACCCCAAGAGGAAGCCGCAGCAGCTGCTGCACTCGGCCTAAGCAGCAAACCCCCTCACTATAACGCCATCGTTGTGCTGCAGCAACAGCAGCACGTAACGAAGGAAACACTTGCTGCAGCAGCAAACAGCACACACAACACATATAATAACCATCAGCTGCAGCAGCAGCAATACCAGCAGCAGCGAGTGCAGCAGGAGCAGCAGCAAGAGCAGCAGCTATTGAATAGTGTATGCAGCATTGCTGCTGCTGTTGCTGCTGTTGCTGCAGCAGCAGCAACGCATTAGCAGCAGACCGTATAGTGTAATAAGTAGAACAGCAACAGCAACAACAGCAGCAGATGCTGCTGCTGCTGCTGCTGCTTGCTGCTGTTGCTGCTGCTCTTGCAGCTATTACTTACGTTAGTGATTTCTTCGGGTATAGGTGCAGAAGCAGCAGCAGACAAAATAGGAGACAGCAGCAGCTGCTGCTGCTGCGGTGATGGAGGAGGCAGCAATCTACTATTATGTTTATGCTGCTTCTGCTGCTGTTGCTGTTGCTGTTGTTGCTGTTGCTGCTCTCCTGCAGGAGGAGGACAAGGCCCAACAACAAGGAATCTTCTTATATCTCCTGTATCAGCAGCAGGTGCTGCTTCTGCTGCAGCAAGAGACATTGAGGTGTCTGTACACCTCAATAGGGGCAGCAGACGCAGCAGCAGCAAACTTCCTTTCTTATATATACAATTAGGTCTTAATAAACTTTTTCTTGATGAGGAGGCATCTAGTAAGTATATACAGCCACGGCGTCGTGGCTGCTGCTGCTGCTGCTGCTGGTGCTGCTGTTCGTTGTCCTTGTCGTTGTCCTGCTGCTGCTGCTGCTGCTGCTGCTGCTGCGCTTCTTCTTGACCCCTCTTGCTGCTCCAACCGCAACTAACAAAGATATGACCAGGGAGAGTCTTCTCTATTACACCCCACTCTGCTTCGCTATGCTGCTGCTGCTGCTGCTGCTGCTGCTGCTGCTGTTGCTGCTGTTTTTGTTTCTTTTGTTTGGTGCTTGTCTTTTCTCCTGCTGCTGCTGCTGCTGCTGCTGCTGTTGCTGCTGGTCTAAATAGGCCTGCACTAATAACAATTGTTTCTTGCTGTTTTTGTTTCCTTAAGGAATCCATAAACCCTCCATATCCTTCATCTTCGCTGCTGCTGCTGCTGCTGCTGTTGCTGCTGCTGCTGCGTCTACGGTGTATAGCCAGCACAACAGCATATATCTCTTGCTGCGGTCTTAGTAACCCTAAAGGAGACACAGGAAGATCTGTCTCCTCCTTAATAGGAGGAGGAGCCCACAGTCCTCCTTGCTGCTGCTGCTGCTGCTGCTGCTGCTTAGTATTAGCAGCAACAGGAGGAAGGGCATCTGTACAGTGTATATACACCTCAGCTTTTATATGAGTAGACACCAGCTGTGCTGCAGCAGCGCATGCATTAACTTTTGTTAATCTGCAGCAGATAACAGCCCCAATATATAGATCTGCTGCTGCTGTTGGTGTCTTTACTAGTTGCTGCAGTTGCTGCTGCTCCTTGTTTATTAGCTGCTGCAGAGGACCTGCTGCTGCTGCTGCAGCAGCAGCAGCAGCAGACTCGCTTGATGATACCTTCCCGTCATCACGAGATCGGCAGCAAAGAGGCAGCAGCAACTGCGGCAACGCCTTTGCTGCTGCTGCTGCTGCTGCTGCTTCTCCTTCTTCTCCTGCTGCTGCTGTTGCTGCTGTAACAGGAGAGAATTTGCCTACTAAGTCTACTGGGCATCCAACAAGAGCAGCAGAAGCATTAAGAGTTGCTGCTGCAGCTGCTGCTGCTTCCTCCTCTTCTTCTTCCTCTTGCTGCTGCTGCTGCTGCTGCTCATTGTTGCTAATAGGAGACACAGTTATAAAGAAAAGAGGAAGAGACAGCAGCAAAGGTTTGCTGCTGTCTCCTATACTAAACTCTGCTGCTTCTGCAGCAACAGCAGCAACAGCAAGCAGACCCATGTCTGCAACCAAGACACCTTTCTGCTGCTGCTGCTCCTCCTCCTCTTCCTGCTGCTGCTCCTGTCTATTCAGCAACCGCTGCTGCAGCAGCTGCAGCAAGACAGGGGGCATTGCCTCATTCTTATAGTCCCATGCATCTGCTGCTGCTTCCTGCTGCTGCTGCTGCTGCTGCTTAACCTTCGCTTTCTTTTGTAAGCGAATAGTAATTTCTTCCTGCTGCAGCTCGTCATTATCTGCTGCTGCTGCTGCTGCTGCTGCAGCAACACCTACTGTACACCGCAGCATCTTGGTGTTTTGCTGCTGCGCTTTTGCTGCTAGCTGCTGCAGCAGCAGGAAGGGCTGCAGCAGATCTCCGCTGCAGCAGCCATAGGCAACTTTGCTGCAAGGATCAGCAGCAACAATAAGACAATCAAATTGTTGCTGCTGCTCCTCCTCTTCCTCCTCCCCATCCTGCTGCTGCTGCTGCTGCAGCTGCCGCTGCAGCATAGGAGGCAAGAAGGCAGGAGGAACAATAATATAAACGCATGCAGCCCCACAGCAGCAACCAGCAACACTAAACTTTCCTCCGCTGCAGCAAAACTTAACGAAGGAGCAGCGCAGCAAACCGCCAGCACGTAAGGCTTTGCTGCAGATGCATGCAGCAGCATCAGTATCATTTGCTGCTGCTGCTGCTGCTGCTGCTGCTCGTTGCTGCAGCATACGCTGCAGTGTAGGGAGAGCAACAGCAGCTAATGCTGCATCTGTTGTTTGTTCTCTTATAATTTTATTAATCTTATGAGGCCTTAACTCAACAACCTGCTGCTGCTGCTGCTGCTGCTGCTGCTGCTGCTGTTGCTGCTGCTGCTGCTGCTGCTGCTGCAGTGCTGCCTTAACAGTTAGACCTATAGGTAATCTCCTTAATAAATGCTGCTGCGTAGGGACAAAGTCTGCTGCTATATTACGATAAAAGGAGACACCTTGTGCATGCATACACCCCAAGGAGACATACACCCCGCATGCTGCTGCTTCTTGCTTAATATATCCAAATAATAGCAATGGTGCTGCTGCTGCTGCTGCTGCTGTTGCATGCATCTGCTGTAACTCAGAACTACTACGAGCAAAATAACGATTAACTGCACCATTGCTGCTGCTGCTGTTGCTGCTGCTGCTGCTGCTGCAAAGGGAAGATGCTGCACCAGTAACACAAAGAGCAGCACAAACAGCTCAGATAATAAGCTGTAAGAGGAAGCAACAACAGCAGCAACAACAGCAGCAACAGCAGCAGCAGCAGCAACAACAACAGCAACAGCAACAGCAGCAGCAGCAATAGCAGCAGCAGCAGCAGCAGCTTACCGCATAGAGAGGGTTTAAGACTAATAAGACAGACATCACGTAGCTGCTGCTGCTGCTGCATTGCTGCCTCCATCTTCTTTGCTGCTGCTGCTAATAGGAGATCCATAGCTGAATCTCCTGTGCTGCTGCTGCTGCTGCTGCTGCTGCTGTTGAGCTTACGCTTCTTTTTAGCAGCAGCAGCAGCAGCAGCAGCAGAAGCAATTAAGGGACCAAGAGACACAGAGAAGACAGCAGCAATAACTACAAATTCAGATGGTAATGTTGACCCTACCTGCATATACACCCCAAATAACACAGTAACCCCACCTATATACAGCAGCAGCAGCAGCAGCAGCAGCAGCAGCGGCACGAGCAGCAGCAAGAGCTGTAGTAGAGTAGGAGACAGCAGCAACAGTAACTATGACAATAACACGAATAAGAGCAGATACAGCAGCAAGAACGGCAGCAGCAGCAGAGTAGGCAACAGCAGCAGCAACAACACTAATACGAGTAACAGCAGCAGCAGCAGCAACAGCAGCAACAGCAGCAGCAGCAGCAGCAGCAGCTTGCCTTCATTGACTGATGTAGCGCTTTAGCAACGGGCACCTCATCAGCAAGATGCAGCAAAGGCACGAAGGCAAGGACACCTCCTTGCTGCTGCTGCTGCTGCTGCTGCTGTTGCTGCTGCTGCTGTTGCTGCTGGTGGTGCTTTGGAGGAACTCTGCGGCACCGCTGCAGCAGCAGCAGCACACCGTTCTGGTGTACAGACACCACGCGTGCTTCTGTACCAGGTATAACTGCCCCTGTAGATAATATCCTGCTACTGCTGCTGCTGCTGTCGCCTCCAGCTGCTGCTGCTGCTGCTGCTGCAGTTATGTCTGTAGTCACCTCTAATGTACCGCGAGATAGGCATACAGAAGTCACCGCCACCTGCACACAATAGCAGCAGCAGCAGCAGCAGCAGCAGCAGCAGCAGCAACAGCAGCAGCAGCAGCAGTAACAAAGGCAATGATGAGCCCACTGTGTGTTTTCCTGTCACATAATCACACTTGTGACTTTCCTGCTACTCTGCTGCTGCTGCTGCTGCTGCTGCTGGTGCTGTCTTGCTGCTGCTGCTGCTGCTGCTGCTGCTGCTGTTGCTGCTGCTGCTGCATACCTTAACAAGAGTTCCTAGTTTGAATTCTTTGCCATTTGCTTCTGCTGCTGCAACATCTGCTGCTGGCAGCACAGCCTTAAAAGGACCAAAGAAGCGCAGCACTATCTGCTGCTGCTGCCGCTGCTGCTGCTGCTGCTGCTGCTGCTGCTGTTGCTGTTGCCTTATGTGCTGCACTGTCTTGATCTCGCTAACGTAGCCAAGAAGAACTTTTCCTCTTTCTACAACAGGCCGTATCTTTTGCTGCTGCAGCTGCTGCTGCTGCAGCATACCCATAGCAGCAGCAGCAGCTACAGCAGCAGATGGCTGCAGCAGACGTGGCAGCAAAGGAGACTGCAGCTGCCGCAACACTTTGCTGCTAGCCAGCAGCAACCTGCTGCTGCCTCCTCCCCCCATCGTCATAAGAGCAGCAGCAAGCATACCCCTCTCAAAGGCAGTAAATATGCTGCTGCTGCTGCTGCTGCTGCTGCTAACAGGGTACAGCTGCAGCTGCTCCTGCTGCTGCTGCTGCTGTGGGTTCATACGATTGGTGCAGCAGCCACTAAGGACAGCAGCAGCAGCAGCAGCAGATGACTCAATAAAATCACAGCTGCTGCAGCAAAACTGCCGCAGCACACGGACACTAATTGCTGCTCCTGCTGCTGCATCCTTAGGCAGCTGCTGCAGCGGCACATCGCTGCAGCAGCAAAGAGGCAGCCAACCCTTAACAGAAGGGGACAACCTGCAGCAGCAGCAACAGCAGCAGCAGCAGTTGCAGCAACAGTTATAGCAGCAGCAGCAACAGTTACAGCAACAGCAACGGCAGTTACACCAAAAACAGCAGCAACAGTTATAGCAACAGCAGCAGCAGTTACAGCAGCAGCAGCAGGTACAACAGCAGCAGCAGCAGCAGCAGCAGCAGGTACACCCGAACTTACCGAATAAGCAGCCCCATTTGCTGCTGCTCAACACGTTGTGGTTGCATTTGCTGCTGCTGCTGCAGCAGCTTATGTTTGCTGCTGCTGCTGCTGCTGCTGCTGCTGCTGCTGTGTATCTTAATAGCCTTAATAACCGTTCCCTTAAGAAGAGACCCTGGAGGTACCTCTAAGGGAGACAGCAGCAGCTCCTGCTGCTGCTGCTGCTGCTGCTGCTGCACAGCAGCAGCAGCAATAACTTCTAGATCTAACCAATGAATAAACAAGACACGGCAGCGGCTAATGTGCTGCCGCTGCTGCTGCAACTGCTGCTCCCTCTTCCTCTTGCTGCTGCTGCTGCTGCTGCTGCTGACGTCAAACGTTGGAGGGATACGCACAACAGCAAACTGAGCAATCCTGCTGCTGCTGCTGCTATCGGGTGCTGCTGCTGCTGCTGCAGCAGCAGCAGCAGCAAGATCCTCATCATCCTTGTCGCTGCTGTTATTCTGCAGCAGCAGCTGCTGCTGCAGCTTATAAAGGGGCAGCAGAGCGCGCTGCCCGTCTGTATTTGCTGCGCTGCTGCTGCTGCTGCTGCTGCTGCTGCTGCTGCTGCTCTTAAGGATAGGCAAAGGTGTCTTAATCTTTGTACCTGGCAGCAGCAAATGAGGAGGCAGCAGCAGCAGCTGCTGCTGCTGCTGCCACCCAACAATATGCGGCAGCAAAGACACATAAATTACCCGCTGCTGAGGCAGCAAACCAATTATTCTTGCATATACACGCTGCTGCTGCTGCTGCTGCTGCTGCTGCTGCTGTGGGTTAAATAGCTGCAGCAGCTGTTTATCAAACTGCTGCTGCAGCTTGTCCTCTGTTATCATGCTGCTGCTGCTGCTGCTGCTGCTGCTGTCTTCGTCAGCAAGGATCTGCTGCGGTTTGTCTCCTTGCTTGGCCTTCTTGCTGCTGGGTGCCAGCAGCTGCAGCTGCTGCTGCTGTTGCTGCTGCTGCTGCAGCAGCGCAGGATGTGTTATGTGGGGGTGCAGCACAACTGCTGTCATGCTGTGCAGACACCGCAGCTGCAGCCCTTGCATGCAGGGGAGTTCTGCTGCTGTTACCCCCTTCTTGCTGCTGCTGCTGCTGCTGCTGCTATCTTCTCCTCCTTTCCTCCTCTTTGCTGCTGCTGCTGCTGCTGCATGCATTATTGGCCGCTGCACACGACACTCCAGCAGCAGACCAGGCCTTAGGCTATCATAAGCTAGCTGCTGCTGCAGTCCTATAGGGGAGAGTAGAGGTCCTGCTGCTGCTGTTGCTGCTGCTGTGTCTGCTGCTGTTGCTGCTGCACATATAATAGTACTTGCTGCCTTATTTACCTCCTGCAGCACAACAGGGATAATAGATCCCTGCAGCAGCTGCATGTTGTGCTGCTGCTGCAGCAGCTGGTGCTGCGGCTGCGGTAGGAAGGCACGAATACCACCACTGCTGCTGCTGCTGCTGCTGCCTTGCTGCTGCTGCTGCAGACCAAAACACAGCAGCAAACCGTGCTCCTCTACAGAGGAGACAGTTGCTGGCAGCAACATTCCTTGCTGCAGCAGCTGCAGCGAGAGTCCTGCATTACATAAGGAGGGACGCAGAGACAGCTCATACACACTGTTGCTGCTGCTGCTGCTGCTGTTGCTGCTGCTGCTGCTGCTGCCAGGGGTACTAATGACAACACAAGGAAGCAGCTGCCCAACGAAGAAACGCTGCAACAGCTGCTGCTTATACGCTGTTTCCTGCTGCTGCTGCTGCTGTCCGCCTTTTAACTTTCGCTGCTGCTGCTGCTGCTGCTGCTGCTGCTGCTGCAGCTCTAAGGTATGCGTACGGTGTACATACCCCACAAGACCATAAGGCAGCTGCAGCAGCAACTCATTTGTATGAATCTCTGCAACAGCAGCAAGCAGCAGCGCCCCTTCCTTTAAGGGGCAACGAATTGCTGCTGCTGCTGCTGTTGCTGCTGCTGCTGTGTCTGTATTGCTGCCTGTTAACCCATAGGTTTCCTCAGCATCATCTTGCTGCTGCTGCTGCTCTCCTCCTGCTGCTGCTGCTGCATAATTTAGGAAAGGGAAGGATAGCTGAGACCGAGAGGAAGAAGATTCCTTGCTGCTGCTGTCCCCAGTCTTACCCTTGCTGATGCTGCTGCTGCTGCTGCGGTTGCTGCTGCCTCCTCGCTGTTTTGTGTCTCCCCGCTGCTTCTCCTGCTTCCTAATAGGAGCAGCGCGGGGAAAGTCTTCTGCTGCGAAGTCTTCCATGCTGCTGCTGCTTCTACCTTCGGTTTGCTGCTGTTGCTGCAGCAGCAGCTATTGCTGCTGCTGCTGCTGTTGCTGCTGCTGGTTGCCTCAGTATGCAGCTGTTTGCTGCTGCTGCTGCAGCAAAATGCAGCTTAAGATGAGGTGTATAAAAAGAAGATCAAGAGAAGGCAACGGATCTCAACGACCAGCCCTAGCTGCTGCTGCTGCTGCTGCGGCTGTTGCTGCTACTGGTGCAGCCCTTGCTGCTGCTCCTATTGCTGCCTTCTCTGCTCCTTCTCCTGCTGCTAATAAAACAAATTAATAAAGTTAATAAACTTTACATGCATGCGATTGAGTCATCTTGAGGGGCCCCGCGGCCCCACAGCTGCTGCTGCTGCATGCGGCTTCCGACGGCAGCAGCAGCAACAGCAGCAGCAGCAGCAGCAGCTGCTGCTGCTGCTGGTCAGCATCCTATACAGGCGCTAGCTGTATAGTTGAAATAAATAAAAATTAAATATATAAATGTATTAAATAATTAAATAAGGGATTTATTTTAACTATTTTGCCGCTGCAGCAGTAGCAGCAGCAGCAGCAACAGCAGCAGCAACTGCAGCAACAGCAGCATCAGCAGCAAACTCAACTCACCCACCAGGATCCTTCAATATTTATAGATATATTTAATATTATTTGCTGCTTAATTATGATTTCTTCCTTGTTTTTTTAATATTAGCAGCAGCAGCAGCAGCAACTGCAGCAACAGCAGCAAAATGATGCAACAACAGCAGCAACAGCAGCAACAGCAGCAGTGGTGAGAAGACCACACCACACACGTATGAAGTCTGCTGCTGCTCCTCTACGACTGCTGTGCTGCAGCACAGCAGCAGCAGCAACAGCAGCATCAGCACCAACACCAGCAGCAGCAGCAGCAGCAGCAGCAACAGCAGCAGTTGCACGCCAATGTGCCTGGAGGAGATATTGGCTGCTGCAGCAGCGATGCAGCGCAGCAACAGCAGCAGCATCTGCTGCCGCTGCTGCTGCAGCAGCAGCAGGAACACCTTCACAACTGCAGCAAAGGACTGCAAAGGGAAGCGTTAGCAACGACACCAGCAGCAGCAGCAGCAGCAGCAGCAGGGAAATTGTAGAGGATGAGGAGCTGAGCGACTTGCCTGCTGCTGAGCTGCTGCCATTCCTGCAGCAGCAGCTGCTGCTGCGGCGTACACCGTTGCGGTTGCTGCTGCTGCTGCCTCTGCTGCTGCAGCGTGCTGCTAAGAAATATAAGCCTGAGGAGCTTGCTGCTGCTGCTGCAGTAACTGCTGCTATTTGCTGCAACAGGCGTGCTGCTATTCATCAATGTCTTGAGGACCTGCAGCAGCAGCATCAGCAACTGCAGCAGCAGAAGCAACTGCAGCAGGAAATGCAGCAGCAGCAGCAGCAGCAACAGCTGTCCCCGCAGGAGCTTAAGACACAATCTAAATCCATTAAGCAGCAAATTGTTTTGCTGCAGCAGCAGCAGCAGCAACTGCAGCAAGCAGAGGCGCAGCTAGGAGGAGTTATCAGCATAGCTGCAAGGAAGCTACAGCAGCAGCAGCACCAGCAGCACGAACAGCAGCAGCAGCAGCAGCAGCAGCAACTAGTACATGTGCTGCAGCAGCTTCATAGACAGGCCTCAGCAGTTTGCTGCTGCATCGACACTTTGCTTCGGCTTCCTTTTGCTGCTGCTGCTGCAGCACAAGATGTTGCTGCTGCTGCTGCAACAACACTGCAGCTGTTTGCAGCAGCAGGAAAGTACCACATTGAAGAACCTGCAGCAGCAGCAGCAGCAGCAACAGCTGCTGCTGCTGCTGCTCTCCAGCAGCAACAGCAACTGCTGCAGCGGCTTCCTGTCCTCTTAGGACGACTGATTGAGGCCTGCCTACCAACCAGCAGCAACAGCAGCAACGGCAGCACCAGCAGCAGCACCAACAGCAGCAGCAGCACGAATAGCAACAGCAGCAACAGCAGCAAGACTGAAGAGGAGAGAAGGGCGCTTGTTGCTGCTGCTGCTAAGGCAGCAGCAGCACTTCTTTTGCTGCAGCATCGCGTTGTTGCTGCTGCTGCTGCACGCCAACTAGTACCAGCAGCGCAGCAGCAGCAGCAGCAGCAGCAGGTAGATTCAGGAGGGCAGATGAGTAGCAGCACCAGTTGTAGCAGCAGCACAACTAACAGCAGCTCCAGCGGGACCAGCAGCAGCAGCAACAGCAGCAGC